CCGGCTAATTTTTTGTATTTTTTTTTTTTAGTAGAGACAGGGTTTCACCGTGTTAGCCAGGATGGTCTTGATCTCCTGACCTCATGATCCGCCCGCCTCGGCCTCCCAAAGTGCTGGGATTACAGGCGTGAGCCACCACACCCGGCCATTCTCCCTTAACAATCTTGCTGAGAAACTTTTTAGCAGGTATTAATCTAAGGGTTCAAATTCCAGCTTTACCACTTATTAGGCACTGGTGCTTTCCAGCATTTGTCTAATGTCATTCTCACAAGCCTACAGAGTAAATATTATTCCCATTTAGAGATGATATAACTAAAGAGCAGAAGGCTTAAGTAACTTAACATTACTATAAGCTAAGAGTGGTAGTGCTGCAATTTGAACCCAGCGCTATCTCACTCCAAGGTGAATGCTCTTAAGCACCACATTATACAATGCCTTCTCTGTAATATATAAAACTAACAGTTGTAATTTTTCATGTACATAATTTTGTAAATTTTGTGTCATCACAAAAATCTCCATGAAAAAAAAAATCACGAGAGTAAAAAGTTGAAATTTGGCCAGGCGCAGTGGCTCACACCCATGATCCCAGCATTCTACGAGGCTGAGGCAGGCAGACTGCTTGAGCCCAGGAGTTCACGACCAGCCTGGACAACACAGCAAAACCCCATCTCTAACAAAAAATACAAAAATTAGCTGGGTGTGATGGCATGCGCCTGTAGTCACAGTTACTCGGGAGGCTGAGGAGGGAGAATTGCTTGAGCCCAGGAGGTGGAGGTTGCAGTGAGCCAAGACTGCACCACTGCACTCCAGCTTGGGTGAGAGAGTGAGAACCCGTCTCAAACATAAATAAATAAATAAAAATAAAGTTTTAAGATAAGATTAAAAAATGAAAGAGTCCAAATTCTATAACTTAACCTTTTGGCAGAGCATTCTTTGTACTTTAAATTTATTCACATTGCTGGGTGCGGTGGCTCACGCTTGTAATCGCAGCACTTTGTAAGACCAAGACGGGTGGATCACCTGAGGTCAGGAGTTTGAGACCACCCTGGCCAACATGGTGAAACCCCATCTCCACTAAAAATACAAAAATCAGCTGGATGTGGTAGCACATGCCTGTAATCCCAGCTACTCGGGAGGCTGAGGCAAGAGAACCACTTGAACCTGGGTGACAGAGGTTACAGTAAGCTGAGATTGTGCCACTGCATTCCAGCCTGGGTGACAGAGCAGGACTCTATCTCGGGGAAAAAAAAAAAATCTTTATTCACATTTTCTTTTTCTCTTTGAGACAGAATCTCGCTGTTGCCCAGGCTGGAGTACAGTGGCACAATCTTGGCTCACTGCAACCTCCACCTCCCAGTTAAAGCGATTCTCCTGCCTCAGCCTCCCAAGTAGCTGGGATTACAGGTATGCGCCACCACGCCTGGCTAATTTTTGTTATTTTCATAGAGACAGGGCTTTACTATATTGGCCAGGCTAGTCTT